AGAGAGAGAGAGAGAGAGAGAGAGAGAGAGAGAGAGAGAGAGAGAGAGAGAAAGAGAGAGAGAGCATCACTAGCCGTTTTCTGCCCGATTCTTCAGTACTAGGGCCACGAGGGCCACTGCCTTTCTAACCGTAGAGAATTGCGATCTTTTAAGGGTATTAAAGAAGTTTGCGATGAACAGATGCACGTAACAGATGGGCTGGGTGCGTGCCTACCCTTCTTCCCTTGAATACAACGTACGGTCATTATAGCTGTATTTAGATTGAAAGATACCCCAAATTTTGCTATAATGACTGTACGCTGTATTCGGGGAAAGCGTGTAGTTGACTGTACGTTGTATTCGGGGGAAGACTGCAGATGACTGTACATTCAGGGGAGGGCGAGGGTGCTGTCGAGCTATACACGTGCACATGTCTGCATGCACTCCTTTTTCCCACTGGCGAAAGTGGTCGATACTCCTCACCCGGTACTGGGCCGGGAGTATAGAAATTATTTCCTATTTTTGGCGGCCGCCACCCACTTGGATAGTGCCGGTCAGGATATTCTGCCTACGTAGCCCAAGTTCGTGGACACTGGACAGTGGACAGTACACACATGGCACCCATGAATCGACAAATGGAGAGCACACACATCCGATGAACTGGGCACTCTCCCGAAGAATTCAGCATCCTACAGGATTTGAACATGTGACAGTTAACTTAGAAGATTGTTGCTCTATCCTGCTGACGTAAGAATTCAACTCAGCCAACCAACTGGGTGTAGCTCAGTTGGTAAGGCGTTCAAGCGGCACTCAGGAGGTCGTGGGTTCAATTCCCATTGCCTCCACGATATTGCCCGTGGTCGTGGGTTCAATTCCCATTGCCCCCACGATATTGCCTGTGGCATGCTTGGCGTCTTACCTTCGAGACGGTCAGTTGGTAAGTAAGTAGGTGGTAGCTCAGTGGCAGAGCTCCGGTGTTGCAACGGGGAGGTTGTGGGTTCGACATTGTCGGCCTACAGTTTCCCCCGAGCACAATTGGTTGGTGTAGGTTGCACCCCGTGTACTTGCCCCAAGCCTGGCATAGCGCCCTTACAGACTAATGACCTCAATAGCTCAGTGGGTAGAGCTCTGATATTGTAACTTGGAGGTCCCGAGTTCAACTCCATACTATGCTCATTCATCATGTCTATATATACTGTTCGTCATATCAGCTAGGGATGATCTTCTGAACAGGATTTGGGTGGGGACGTGTGCCTTTCCTATGGGAGAGTTGACAAGGGATGGATGCTACTCTCTCGGGTCGGAGAGTGGTAAGAGGTTGTTTGGGTGCATGGTGATACCTTGGCAGTCCTTGGTGGGCAGGGGAGCCTTGTAGGGAAACCAATGTCGAATTAAGAGGTGTGTCCTACTCTCGATGTCAGTAGACCCATTCTGGGGTGGCTATCAGAGGTGGTTGGGGATAGTTGACGAGGGTCGAGGTCTCTAACATTACCACTAAGTGGATTCTCCCTAGCGAACAGACATAAGCAAGGCTCATTAGTGGCAGAAAAAAAGCAACCACATACATCCATACAGACTATGATATCACACTAGCTCACATAACAACCAGCATATTCAACAACCAACAGTAGCCATATATGAACCGCGCCGTGCTGGGTTGGTACTTAAGAGGTAGGGGGCTCATGGGTTAGACGGAACTTAGACCTTGGTTAGCTGACCATGTGACACTGCCTATGAGTGCCCTCACTGCTCACAGGACTAGTTAACTGCGATTTCGTCAAAATGGACATCTTTTATTTTTTGAACAAAATTGAAATCGATTTTTTTGGCCGAAAGTTCGTCAAAATTTGTTGTTCCTGAGGGTCCGGCATTTGTAAAATGCTGGACCCCCTGGCACGCACACACGCACACGCACACGCACACGCAAACGCACACGCACACGCACACACACACACACACACACACACAAACACACACACACACAAACACACACACACACACACAATCAGTTTTAGGTATGTTTGTTTTTCCTCTTTTTCCTATTTTTTCTAAGTGTTTTTTGTGTCTCTAGCCGAACACCCTCTAGCAGTGCCAAACAGTGGGTGGTTCCTCGTTTGAAGTGCCAATTGCACTCTTAGGGGGGCCATTCGGTTCGGGAACTTTGGGATGTTTGTGTTGCCTGTTGGCGATGACGGATGGTCGTCGGAGTGTCTCCCTGGCTCAGCGGTGGTGGGAACCAACAGTCTGCGGGGTTCAATCATGATGTGAGTAAGTCATGTGCTGCTTTGCTCCATGTTGGATGTGTAGACGGTCTTGTCTGCGCTCTGTCACTGCCTTGCTGCCCGTGCCGCTTGCTTCGCAGGTCGTCCTCACTGCTCTGCAGCTGCCCTGCCGCCTATCCAGGTTTCGTGCCTCCCGTGTCTTTTGCTCGCGTGCCTTGTGGTCTGGGTGCCTTGTGGTGGTGCCTCACGCTTCGCTGCACGGTTGTTGAGCTGCTTGTCTGTATGCCGCCTTATAGTTTGGTTGCCTTGTTGGTGATGCCTTGTGCTTCACTGCACAGTTGCCGAGTTGCTTGTCTGCTTGCCTTGTTGGCCTTTTGCGTCCTTTACTTGCTTGCGTGCCTTGTAGTCCAGTTGTCTTGCTGATGTTGCCTTGCGCTTCACTGCACGGTTGTCGAGCTGCTCGTCCACTTGCCTTGTCGTTCCTTGCAGTCGTCTTTGGTGATAAGCAGTTGGATTGCCTCTACTGCGTTGCCCGCTGCTATATCCCGCTTGGGGACAGTCTGCCTTCAACATGGGTCAAAGGGTTTATGACTCAAACCACCAAAAACAGAGATTCCGCAGATTGTCGATGGTTCAGCCTCCTGATGAGTCAGTGCAACTTCGACTAAACAATCTTGTTATCATGAGTTTTTATTTTTTTCGGTCTTATGATTTTTTTAGGACTTGTATTTTTTCATGTTTGCCTCTTTGGTGTGCTTGCATGTTGTCTGCCCTCCCGCCTGCTTGATGTGCTTGTGTGTCGCATGCCCTTCCACCTCCCCTGTGCCCTTCAGCCTTTCTCCTTCGCTGTTGCTTGTCATCCCATGCCTTATCATGTCATGCCTTTTGATTGCCTGCTTGGTGTCGTTGTGTGTCATTTGTCCCTAGTCTCAAGTTAGGTCCACGTACAGCNTCATCCCATGCCTTATCATGTCATGCCTTTTGATTGCCTGCTTGGTGTCGTTGTGTGTCATTTGTCCCTAGTCTCAAGTTAGGTCCACGTACAGCCAGGGGGTCCAGCGTTTAACCCTCAGGAACAACAAATTTTGACGAGTTTTCGGCCAAAAAA